CTAACCAGAAGGCTGGTGGTTCAAACCCACCAGCCACTCCTCAGAAGGAAGGTTGGGTAATCTACTTCTGTAATGATACTGCCTTGGCAACCCAAGGAGGGGTCGCTATGAGTTGGGGCCGACTCGACAGCACACAACAACAGCAACAATTCTAGATTTTATCACTTCAGTCCTCTCACCCCTCAAATAGCAACTAATGTATGTTCAAGAAAATAGGCAACTAAAATTTTTACTGTTATGAAGAGCTTAAATCCCTTGGCAGTTAAAAGTAGTAGGAACATTAAATGCAGGGAAAGATTGGGATATCTTCATAAATAACAAATGTAAAATTCAAAAATAGTGAACATCATAATAATACAAGAATGTTGGGGCATTCTCCAAAATAAAAAGAAGATTGGCTTTCATTTAGTTTCTTTTAAAAGATAAACTAAGGTCAAATTCATATTCAAACTAGTAAGAATGGATATCATTCAGATATCTAAAATCCAGATAACCAGAGATATCTTTAGTGGTGGGTGGCAGTATTCATTGTAAAAGCAGTAATAATATAGTAATAATAATAGTTATATGCAACGCACCTGTAATATGTGCCAGGCACTGTCCTAAGCCTTTATATGAAGTAACTCATTCACTCCTTAACTGCATTGAGATAGATACACTTATTGTACCCATTTTACAGTTAAGAAAATGAGGTATAAACAAGCTAAACAAGAGGACTAAGAGGAGGAAACAGTGAGCAGTAGGTAAGAGGCTGGAGCCTACACTCTTAACCAATATACTGTGCTGAAACAAGTTAAGGCTGTATATGGGTCTAAACTGCAAGTGGTCTGAATTCCTCCATGATTACATGAACAGGCACTAAGAGCTTGCATGGTTTTTGAAGAATGAAATGTTAGAAAGCCAAAACTTGAGCTCAGATTCTGGCTCTGCCACTCATGGGCTGGGTGATTGTAGGACATCAGTCATGTTTCATAACTCTCTGGGTCTTCCTTGAGAAACCTGTTCTTAAGGATTCTTTTTAGAGCTAAAATTTCAGAATTTTGTATCAGTTTTTCCACAATCAGTAAATACTTGCTAAATGAACAAATGAATGAGCCATAAAAATAAATAGTTTTTAGGGGATACATTTTGTACTATTAGGAGCACATTTAAAATGTTGGCTATGACCACTCTTTCTATTTAAAAGTAAATATTTTTGTGAGAAAAATCCAAAGCCATCCATTAAAAAAAAAAAAATCACCCTAATCTAAATCTGGTACACATAAAAATAACTATTAGGATCTAAATTTTGTTATATCCAAAGACATATGGGAAACAGTGGGAAATGTTATAGAAATCTCTGTTGTTGTTGTTGTTGTTATGTGCCGTCAAGTCGGCCCCAACTCATAGCGACCCCTCCTTGGGTTTCCAAGGCAGTATCACTACAGAAGTAGGATTGCCCAACCTTCCTTCCGAGGAGTGGCTGGTGGGTTTGAACTGCCAGCCTTCTGGTTAGCAGTCAAGTGCTTTAGCCACTATGCTATAGAAATCTCTACTAACTAGTAATTCCATTCCACAAAATGGTAATACTTAAAGATGGAAAGATTTAATGATTGCATTTGATTTATCTCCCAGCAATGTATACCTTGACAGAAATCATTTTTCCAAAGGGAAGAAAAAAAAACATAAAACCAAATTGTGGTACAAAAACTAAGCCAGCATAGGGCCTATATTACCCAGGATGCACTAGGGTTCATCTTAGAATATAGAGCAGGTCCTACCATTTGTCATTATTCAGTAAATATAGTAAATACTAAGCTGAGAGAATCCATGGACTTCAAAGAGACTAAATGTGAGGCCTTAAAAGGTGATTAGTTCTCAAAACTGTCTCAAAAAAATGCCAGCAAAAAGTGATTAGCACTTTCAAAATAGTCAGCTCTCAATTACTTGCAGTAACAGGAAAAAGGAAATAATTATCAGAAGTCATTTGTCTCAATACAAAATTTTGGACTGCAAAAATGGTGAAATGACCACTCACTCCTCAGCCTATACGACTATGAGACCAGAAGAACTAGATGGTGCCTAGCTACCACTGTCAACCACTCGGAGGGGGTTCTATGTAGAAGATCCTGGATAGAATGCGAGAACAATGTGGAATAAAACTCAAAATCATTGGAAAAAAAAAAAAAAAGGGACCAAGTTTGCTGGTCTGATAGAGCCTGATGGAACCTAGGTGCCCTTCAGGTCTGGAATTGAACCCACTCCTGTGGCTTCCAGCCAAACAAAAGACAGGCATATGAGCTGAACACTTACATTAGGTAGATACAGTTCTTGGAGAGAAATATCATGGGAGAATAGGAGGGCTGTGTACGCACAGGGAGACAGCTCAGTGGGCAGGAGTGCATGCAGGGAAGGACACAGGGAAGAGGTAACTATGGGGAGGAAGTGAGAGGAGAGCTGTTGAATTGTGGTAAATTGTAGTCAATGTAATGAGACAAAATATATGTGAGCTGTTGTATGGAAAGTGAATTTGCTCTGTAAACTTTTACCCAAATCACAATTAAAAAAAAAAAAAAAAAAAAGTGGTGAAATGATTAAGTGAGACTGAGCAGATTTCCTACAGGTGCTTTGGATAACCAGGCCCCACACAGGGCCACGTACTTCAGTTCCATGCAGTGCGTGGACCTCTATTCAGTTGTGCAAGCAGACTGGGCAATAAGGGAGACATGTCAAAAGCACATTTGACACCAGTGAAACCAGCTGCTCTAAAACATGCCTTGGACAAGCCAAACTATACGACATGTTTGCAGATTTGAATGGATTCAATTTGTATGCACTCATATCCTTTGACCAAACAAGAACTAACTAGCCTCAGGAGTGAAAGATACTTAAACTTAGCTGTTTTATTACACAGAAGGATAAAGTAGATTTTCTGTGATTATACTCTGCTTTCAGCACTGGCGGTGGTGCCTAAGGCATCTGACTGCTAACCAGAAGGCTGGCAGTTCAAACCCACCAGCCACTTCTCAGAAGGAAGACTGGGCAATCTACTTCCATAGAGATACTGCCTAGGAAACCCAAGGAGGAGTTGCTATGAGTCAAATCGACTCAATGGCAGTGAATTTGGGTTTTGGTTTTTTCATTTCTTGAATATTCATATTTGATGACAACACATGAATAACCCTTAATATAAATGATTAATAATTATTAATTCCCATAGAAACACAGAAAAAAGCCTTATGGTTCATTTCATCCATACCTTTTTTTCTTAAAAAAAAAAAAAAAAGCATATAATAAACTGGACATTTGAACAGTTGAAGGCTGTATCCTGTATCAAATAGCTCGTTATTGGCAGAGCCAGTGTCAGTGGTCTTTCTATCACACCTGTTTTCCTGTTGTGCATCTACTAATTCTAGGCAAATACAATAATATTTCAAGATTCATCTTACCTAACTCTTCATTTGTGCTGTCATTATCAGTAGCAAACGGGAATCTCTTTTGTTCTGCAATAGACTTGGCCTGGCTCTGAAAAGAAATACCAAACAAATATTCTAGCTTATTACAAATGAAGAGAAAACTTATATTGTAAACCTGTATTTTTCAAAAATTAAAACTACATTTGATTTAAATTAAAGAAAGCATTAGCTTTATGTCATACTAATCACAAAAACATAGTTTGTTGTATAACAGTTTGCTCTCCCTTATCATTATGGTCGCATTTCCAATGAATGGTCATTTTTTATTTCTACAGGGATTAAGCTTGCTAGCTGCTTAAGAGTTCACTCCATAATATCAATTATATTGCAAAGATTACATTCTAGCAACCAGTCCTCCAATGTGGTTTATATTTTAAACTCTAAGAATATTTTAGAAATAACAGCTACAAGTTGTTCAGAGATGTCATAAAAGGGTCAGCAAAAATGACCAAGAAAGAAGACATTTTACTAAATAGTGCAAAGCAAGCTACAATCATCCTACTTAATTCAGTAGCCTCATCCTTGAAGAAAATATTCAGACACACATATGTACCTGGGGCAGGAGAAGTAGGAACTAGGAAGAAACAAAGTAAATAAGAAAGCTTAGTAACTAAAAGGGAGCTTTGGTAGTGCAGTGGTTAAAGCATTCTGCTGCTAACCAAAAGGCTGACAGTTCAAACTCACCAGCTGCTCCAAGGGACAATGATGAGCCAATCTGCTTCTGTGAAGATTTACAACCTTGGAAACCCTATGGGGCAGTTCTACTCTGTCCCACAGGGTTGCTGAATCAACTCAATGGCAATGGGTTTGGTTTTGTTTGGTTAGTAACTAAAATGATTTTCCACGTTGTATTTGTCCACTATATAAAATGATGGCTCCATCAAGTTTTGGTGAAAAATGAGGTCTGACAATACATAAACCTTCCATTTCCCCAGAAGATGTACTGTCAATTATGACACTTAGCCTGTGGCATACCCATTAAATTTTAACTTTATACCAGAGTCACCTGAGATACAATTAAAATATGTATACCCACAGACACAGGAAAAGCTAAGATACTAAGAGACTAAAGGATGTGTTGCTTTTGGCAAAACTGTAGGATTAGAAACCAGTGACAGCCCAATTATTTGAATTCCTCTTCTTTTAAATCCATAGTACTGATGTCCATAAGCATATACGATAGGCAAATAATTACACATGGGAATGTATAATTTACACATTCTGACTTACATGTTATTTAACCAATGACTGGTATTTATTAGCCAAGATGAGTTGTGATCTATTGGGCTTTATTGACTTAAATAACAGGTTTTCAGGTATTTCCATTTCCATTCCCTGCACACTCAAAATCCATACTAATGTTTACATACAGATCAATATTTGATTTCCTCATAAAACAAAAAATAAGCTAGTTCTGATTAAAACACAAGCTGCTGCTTAAAATCACAAGTAATAGATATACACCAGAAGGACAGCCCATCTCAGGAGGTTCACTCATTCCACTTTACCCCATTCAGAAGTCTAGCAAAATAAGATATCTGGAAACCCAACTATCATGGAGATGTTTTACATGTTACTCCCTCTAGTAAGACACTGATAGCTAAAGAGACACTCCATTAGTTCTTTCTTATTTAACTATATAGCTAGCTTTGCCACATAGGAATCTTCTAAGGTTTCTTTAAAACATGACAGATTTAATAACACAAGGCACGTCACATCCAGGGTATGTCTGGGTGTGGCCAGAACACCATTCCTTCTTCTCTGTCAAATGATTACAGACAAGCACACAGATCTGAAATATTTCCCTGTCTGGTAAACTGCTTATAGCAAGGAAAAAACCATAAACATTGTTTTTAAAATTTAAAAAATCTTATTATTTCATCCAGTATTTGATGAGATATTTGATGAGTATTTGATGTACCAGGCCTTTGTAATGAAAAATATGGACACAAGAACAGAAATGAAATGCCATTAAAACAAGAAATCATTTACCTGGCCACATCAAGAGCTACTACAGAATGTATCTAATACAAAATTGTTTGCTTTATATTAGAAATAAAATCTGCAACAGAAGTGGGCAGGAATAGTATAATATGAACAAATTAAATTCTTGAACAGAAAGAAACTTATCCATGTCTAATACTACCTCTGTAGTTACCTTCCATGGACAAAGATGAGAAGCTATGATCAAATAAATAAAAACACAGAACCTGACATTGCTGATAGATTAACCTTAACCCATCCTTCAGTTCTCTGCTTAAGTTTCAGTTCCTAAAAGCTGTCTTTAAATAATTTAATTTAAATAAGATCATACTGGGGAAAACCCTTTACTTCTCTTTCACATGACTTGCACAGTTTTACTTGTATATTTATTTGTATAATTATTTTGTTAGTGAGTATAAAATACATGTATGCAAGACCAAGTCTATCTGGTTCACTGCTGTATTCATAATAGCTGCTAAATAAATATCTGTGGAATGAATGAGTAAATGAATATTGTAGGTTCCGTATATTCACCGTAGAGAAACTGAAAGGTCAAGATTGGTGACCTTTCTCCTGTAAGTTACTAGGCAGTACTATCTTAAACAGGAAATGCAACTAGTAGAAAATTATTTGAATAACTATCAATAAGAAGGTTCCTCTAAACACTTGGAGGTTTCTGTAGCTTTTGGGGAAGTAATTCTCTGCTCTACAATACTTCAATATAATAATTTTGACAACAATTGCTATTATTTATTTTTTTAGGCAATTTAACAATACTGGAAAAAACAAAACATGCACTATGATTCTGACTGACAGCGACCCTATGAGGACAGAGCAGAACTGCCCCATAGAGTTTGCAAGACTGTAAATGTTTATGGAAGCAGACTGCCCATCTTTCTGCTGCTGAACAGCTGGTTGCTTCTAACCACTGACTTTTGGGTTAGCAGCTGAGCACTTAGCCACTATACCACAAAGGCTCCTGATTCATCATTAGCGGCCCGATATACAAAATTATATTTCATAAACATATCTATTGTTGAAGTAGATAATAATTTCTCCATCGTCATCAACATTTCATCCAATTCAATGAATCGATCTTTTCCAAATACACTAATCTGTTATTTGTGTGTAGTAGTACACATCAAAAAATTTCCTTATTTTCTTTTTTTTTTTTTACAAAAAGAAGTTTCCCTCATAGCTCTAAGAATCTAACCACCCATAAAAGGCAGAGGTTATCACTTTCTACTTAAATATTTTCAGTGATGGCCAACTTATTACTTTATAACACAGCCCATTATGGTTTTAAAAAGTCTAATTCAAAAGTTTTTTCATATATTAAATTGATTGCTAAATAGTGAATTAGACAAAATCAGTTCATTGTTCTCTTTTGATCAACAATTAGACATCTGGCTATGAAATGGGGAGTGTATCCAAGAACATATATAGGGTTGGCAATGGTCCTATAAGTTTATGTGAATGATCAGAATTCCCAGGTGTGTAGTAGAGCTGAAAAGGGACAAGGTTGTGGTCACAGCTTGGTCATAGCCAGCTACACAGAGGGACTGAGTAGTTGAACCTGCAGGCTTGGGACCACAGTTGCAGGGGACATCAAGCTCAATTGGCATAACATACTATACAAAACATTGTTCCACCTCCTACTTTGGCGAGCAGTGACTAGGATCTTAAAAGCTAGCACGCTGCCATCTAGATGCAATGATGGGTCTCTCCTCGTCCAGAGCAAAGAAGAATGAAGAAAACCAAAATTCATGGAAACAATTAGTTCTAGAGACTGGTACACCATCCGATCTACAGCCTATATGACTTGGAGACCAGAAGAACTAGATGGTGCCCGGCTACCACTGTCATCCACTTGGAAGGGGATCTGTTTTGGAGATCTTTAATAGAGAGGGAGAACAATGTGGAACATAACTCAAAATTATTTGCAGGGAAGAAAAAAAGGTGGGGGGGACCAGGTTTGCTGGTCTGATAGAGCCTGGTGAAATCACTGAGACTATGGCCCCGAGCTGCCCTTCAGGTCTGGAATTGAACCCACACCTGTGGTTTCCAGCCAAACAAAAGACAGGCAAATGAATTGAACATTTACCCCAAGTAGATACACTCCTTGGAGAGAAAAATCATGGGAGAAAGAAGGGCTGCTTATGCACAGAGAGACAGCTCAGGGGGCAGGAGCGTATGGAGGGATGGTCACTAGGAAGAGGTAACTATGAGGAGGAAGTGGGAGGGGAGCTGTTGCACGGTGATAAACCGTGGTCAATGTCATGAGACAAAGTATATGTGAACCACTGTATGGAAAGTGAATTTGCTCTGTAAACCTTCACCCAAATCACAATTAAAAAAAAAAAAAAATTAGACATCTGGAAATCCAGATTAAACTATCTTGCAAATTTAGTTCTGGCAAAAAATGAAAAGCTTTGAGAAATAAAAAGTACTCTAAAGAGAAATTTTAAACAAAAGAAGCAAACAACATCTACACAGATGCTGAAGGAAAAGGCTTGGAGAAAAAGTCTGTTAAACTAAAAGAACAATTCAGTTTTATTGAGTTAAATGTATATGAAAGCAGGAGATCAAATGAGAATCTAGACAGATGTTTTTAAGACCCTTCTACCTTGTTGTAGTCAAGCCAGAGAGGGGGCCATGTTAATCTGGGTAGCCTACATGCAGAGATTACATGGTGACAAACACATATTCCTGAAATGAGGTCTCCTGTACAGTTTAGCTGGTTCTGATTTTAAAAGAAAAAAAGTACAGCTATAAAAGATATCCATACAGGCACCTCCAAATATGTAAACAACAAACCAGCCATCACAGAGTCTACTCTGACCCATAGCAACCCCATGTGTGTCACAGCAGAACTGAGCCCCACAGGGTTTTCAATGGCTGATTTTTCAAAGCTTACTTCTTAAGTCTTTCTCCCAAGATGCCTCTAGGTGGACTCAAACTTCCAACATTTTGGTTAGTAGCTGAGTGCTTAACTGTTTGCACCATTCAGGGATTCCCAGAAATAAGATTCAATTATGATCTCCCAGGTCCAGAATGATTAACCATTCCATTCATAAGTAATAACAATTTATTGTGACCAAATACCAGGTAACCTGGCTTTACCTTATGCAGATGAAACCAACTGGACTTAGCTGATAAACAGAAGCAATCTCCACCTTCTGGAACTAGCTTTATTGTATTTCAGATCATAAAATATCAAAAGCGTGGATGAAAGAAACATACCAGAATTTTTTCTGTGTTGAGGGAAAGCAAAGAGTCACAGGGTGGTGATCCTTTAGGCTCGCAGTCTGAATCGTGGAAGTTCATAAAGGATGAGTCTGAAAAGCAAATACTCCATGTTATTCTCCTCACCTTAAACATATGGCTCTTATGTACCTAGTTATGAATCAGAATTTTAAGTCTACAAAATCAAAACAAGGACAAATGTGCAAACACCAAAAGCAGCATCTTCCACCTTTACAACTGTATAACGTTTTACACTTTCCAAGTATCATGTACAAACATGAGTAATTGTCCTCACAACTGCTAATGAGCAAAACCAGTTACACCTCTCAGATGATGATATGAAGTTTAGAAGGGTTGTGACTTATCTAAAGGCAACAGTGGCAGGAATAGTACTTGCTCAACTCTCTTTTTACTAGTCATGTGAAATTAATATAGTTCGTAAGATCCTTTAATTATGCATATCTTCCCTGGCAGCAAAGGAGCTCTGGTGGCTAGTGGGTAAGGTATTTGGCTGCTAACCAGAAGGTCAGCAGTTCAAAACCACCACCAGCTGCTCTGCAAGAGGAAGATAAGGCATAAAAGATTTACAGCCTTGGAAACCCAATGGGGGTCACTATCAGCCAGAATTGACTCGATGGCAGTGAGTTTGGTTTGATTTGGTTTTATCTGGCAGCTTGTTGTTGTTGTTGTTGTTGTGTGCCATTATCTGGCAGCATTCATCATAAATTAAAAAAAAAAAAAAAAGAAAAAAAAAAAAAAAAAAAAGGAGATGTAAAGGGTTAAAATGAGAGGAGACAAAGCCAGACCAGGAGACCTAATGTTAAAAACAAACAGACAAAAAACAATAAAACCAGCTGCCATGTAATCAATTCTGACTCATGGAGATCCCATGTGTACCAGAGCCCAACTATGCTCCACAAGGTTCTCAATGGCTGATTTTTCGAGATAGATCATCAGATCTTCCCCACAAGCCTCCTTTATTCCAAGGCACCTTTCTTCTAAGGTGCCATCAATCTTTTAGGTAGCAGCAAGCACATTAACCATTTGAACCAATATGTTCTAATTCAACAGTCATTAAAGAACATTAAATTATGTTCAAGGAACCACTTGAAGGAAAGAATAGACTAGAGAATAGTATCAAAAATCAATCAGTGCCCTTAAAGAATTTACAATTTAGCTAGATAAATTCTCATGTCTGTATGTCTTAACAAAATAAAACAATAAAACAGGGCAGGACTTATCAAAGAAGCTCTCAGGTAATTACTAATGGCTGGAACGTTAAATTTCATAGAGGCACAAGTAGGGTATAAAAAGATGGATAGAATCCTCAACAAAGCACTAGCAAACCAAATCCAAGAGCGTATTAAAAGCATTATACACAAAGATCAAGTAAGATTTATCCCACAAATGCAAGGATGGTTCAACATAAGAAAATCAATTAACATAATATACCACATTAATAGAACAAAGGAAACAACCACATGAGCATCTCAATTGATGCAGAAAAGGCACGTCACAAATTGCAACATCCTTTTATATAAAAAAAAACTCACAAACTAGGAGTAAAGGGGAAATTCCTCAACACAGTAAAGGGTAATTATTTTTTTAAAAAACATAGATGACATCATACTCAATGGTGAAAGACTGAAAGCTTTCCTCCTAAGATTAGGAACAAGATCAGGATGCCCCCTCTCACCACTGTTATTCTACATTGTACGAGGAGTCTTACTAAGAGCAAGCCTGCAAGAAAAATAGATAAAAGGTATCTAATCACAGTGAGGATCTCTGGTGGCACAGTGGTTAAGGCATTTCTAACCAAAAGGTCAGCAGTTCAAATCTACCAGCTGCTCCATGGGAGAAAGATGAGGCAGTCTGCTTCCGTAAAGATTTACAGCCCTGGAAACCCAATTGGGCACTTCTACTCTGGTAGCATAGTGCCTAAGACACTTGCCTGCTAACTAGAAGGCTGGCAGTTCAAACCCAACAGCCACTCCTTGGAAGGAAGATGGGGCAATCTACTTCCGTAGTGATACTGCCTCGGAAACCCAAGGAGGGGTCGCTATGAGTCAATTCCAACTCGATGGCACATAACAACAACAAAAGCACTCTGTCCCAAAGGGTCACTGTCAGTCAGACTCAACTTGATGGCAGTGGGTTTGGTTTTATCTTTGGAAATCAGAAAGGAAGAAGTAAAACTATCTCTATTTGTAGATAACATGATCATATGTATAAAAAGTCCAAAAGAATCCACAAGGAAGCTACTAGAGTTAATAAATGAATTCAGCAAAGTGGCTGGGTACAAGGTCAACACAAAAAAAATCAGTTGTTTTTCTATACAGTAGTAATAAACAATCTGAAAAGGAAATTGGGGGGAAATTCCATTTACAATAGCCTCTAAAGGAATAAAATAACTAAGAAAAAACTTAACCGGAAGGTGAAAGACTTGTACTTTGAAAACTATGAAACATAGCTAAAAGAAATTGAGAAGATCTAAACAAACTGAAAACCATGGGTTCATAGATTGGAAGATTTAATATTGTTGTCAACACTACCGAAAGTATCTATGTATTCAACATAATCCTTATCAAAATTCCAATGACCTTTCTTACGTAAAGAAAAGTTAGATGTCAAATTCCTATTGGACTTGCAAGAGGTCCCAAATAGCCAAAACAATTTTGAAAAAGAAGAACAAAGTTGGAGTCCTTGCACTTTCTTATTTTAACACTTACTACAAAGCTACCATAATCAAAACAACATAGTACCAGCATAAGGAAAGATATATTGACCAACAGAATATAATTAAGACTCTAGAAATAAATCCATACATTTATGATCAATTTATTTTTTACAAGGGTGCCAAGTCCATTCACTGGGGAAAGAATAGTCTTTTCAATAAATGGTGCTGGCTGAGAAAGAGGAAGACAGAAAGAGTTACACAGGAGGAACAGACAACAAAGATGAACGCTTTTGCATGTACGGTACGGTGTTGTCAGTGATGGCAAGCTCTGATCTATGGGTCGATAGATGGGTGGACAGGCTGACAATTGGGTTATGTCTAGGCAAGGGAGAGTGTGCCTATGACCATGCATAGGGTCAGCAGACAATGTTTCTACATGCACATCTGTGTTGTAAGATGTGTGGGTGTATAGTAGAGCTGACAAAGGGCAAGGTTGTGGTAGCTTCTTGGCCACAGCCAGCCACCCAGAAGTAGCAAGTAGTTGGACGTGCAGGCTCGGAACCATGGTCAGAGGGGACATCAAGCTCAACCGGCATAATATACTACACAAAAACATTGTTCTACGTCCTACTTTGGTGAGCAGCAACTGGGGTCTTAAAAGCTTGCAAGTGGCATCTAGATGCAACAATGGGTCTCTCCTTATCCAGAGCAAAGAAGAACGAAATAAAACAAAGATGCATGGAAACAATTACTTCAAGGGATTGGCAGACCATGTGATCCTCAACCTATATGACCATGAGACCAGAAGAACTAGATGTGCCTAGCTACCACTGTCACCACTCAGAGGTGGATTGGTGTAGGAGATCCTGGATAGAGTGGGAAAACAAGGTCGAACAAAACTCAAAATCATATATATATAAAAAAAAAAAAAAAAGACCAGGTTTACTGGTCTGTTAGAGCCTGGTGAGACCCCTGAGACTATGGCTCCTAGTTACCCTTCAAGTCTGGAACTGAACTCATTCTTGTTGCTTCTAGCCAAATAATCGACAGGCATATGGGGTGAACATTTACATCAGATAGATATACTCCTTGGAGCAATCAGTCATGGGAGAACAGTACGTGGGAGGGAAGGACACAGGGAAGAGGTAACTATGGGGAGTAAGTGGGAAGAGAGCTGTTGCATTGTAGGAAATTGCAGTCAATGTCATGAAACAAAATATGTATGAAATGCTGTATGGAAAATGAATGTGCTCTGTAAACTTTCACCCAAATCACAATAAAAATTAATAAACAAAACAAAACACAGGGGTTCTAATCTGAGCCCTTTAAAGGTCAGAAAAATAAAATAAATGGTGCTGGAACCACTAAATATACACATGCAAAAGAATGAAGCTGGACCCACAGTAATATCCTATAAAAGTTAACTCAAAATGGTTCAATGGTTTAAATGTAATAGCTAAAACCATAAACTTAGAAAAGATCTTGCTTTTGATAATGGACTCCAAAAGTACAAACAACAAATATAAATTGGATTTCATCAAAACAAAAAAATTTTGTGCAAAAAGAACTTTATGAACAAAGTGAAGAGAAATCTACAGAATGGAAAAAAAAAAAAACTTGGGAATTATATATCTGGTAAGAGTTTAATATCCAGAATATATAAAGAATTCCTAGAACTCAACAACAGAAAGATAACCAAATTAAACAAGGGCCAAAGGACTTAAATAGACATTCCTCCAGGAAGATGTACAAATGGCCAATAAGCAGATAAAAAATGCTCAAAATCATTAGTCACCAAGAAAATGAAATTCAAAACTACTACAGAGATGGGGCAATCTACTTCTGTAGTGATACTGACTCGGAAACCCAAGGAGGGGTCGCTATGAGTCAGGTCCGACTCAATAGCACATAACAACAACAACAGGATAGTTATCAAGGAGCTTGATGTTATAGTGGTTAAGGCATTTGGCTGCTAACCAAAAGGTCAGTGGTTCAAATCCAGTTCTGACTTATAGTGACTGTATGGATAACAGAACAACCACTCCACAAAGAAAGATGAGGCAGTCTGCTTCCATAAAGATTTAGAGTCTAGGAAACTGTGGTGGTTATATTTGTGTGTCAACTTGGCTAAGCCTGGTTGAGTGACTGGGCAGCTGGTGGTAGTTATCCCCCATGATGAGACTGGCAATCAACTCCATGGTGAGATCTACCACAAGCAGCTGAGTAGCTGATTTGGGCATGTGGTCTGCTTCCCGTATATAAGCAGCAGCTTTGACAATGGTCTCTAGCTTATGGCACGCTTGGACCCTGCACGTAGCCATGTCGTTGCTCAGCAGCCTGCCATGCTCTGCTGACCTTGGGACTTACAATGGACTTAAATTAATGGCCTGCCATGTAGTTTGGTAACATCAGGAC